AAGGGCTCTTCCTTTAGCGCCTCCGCTATAGGCACCCTGGAACAGCCGCTTTAGGGCTCCTTTTCTATAGGGGGACCCATATAGGGCCTCCTGCTGTCGCCCCAAAAGGCCCCGAAACGGCCCCGTCTCCATGGCAACACCTCCCACTGTCACCAGCGCGTTATTCTTTTAACTGAATTCAGCTGTTTCCCCCCCCCCAAAAAAAAGCTCTCAGAAACGGCACCGGCACCTCGGCATCGCTTCCCGCCAACGTGACGTCATCGTTTTGATGGAATTGAGCTTTTTTTTCTCCTCAAAACCTCTTAGAAACCGCGCTGCCACCTTGATACTGCTTTACACCGAACCTACGTCATTGCCTTTGCGGATTTAACCTGTTTTCTCCCCAAAACTGCTCCAAACCTGCGCTGTCCCCTCCGCATCGCTTCGCACCACAATGGCATCACCGCCTTGACCGAATTCAGCTCCTTTCTCCCCAAAACCCCTTCAAACACCTTGGCGTCGCTTCCTACCAAAACCGCATCATCACCTTGACAAAACTGAGCTGTTTTCTCCCCAAAACTGCTTCGAACCCCACGTCATCCCCTCAGCATCGCTTCCCGCCGAAATGACATCATCGTCTTGACAGAATTGAGCTGTTTTCTCCCCAAAAGCGCTTTGAACCCACATCACCGCACCTCGGATGTTACATTCCTACTAAACCCGCTCGCCGCCTCAACAGATTTAAGCTCTTTTCCCCCAAAAAAACACTCTTCAAACCCGAGCTCACCCATCATCGTCAGCCCCCCCCAAATCTTTAGGGGGGTCAACGGCGTCGCCACCATGTCGGGGACCGACCCCCTGGAGACGTTACGGGTGGAAGCGAGTTGTTCCGTCTGCCTGGAATATCTCCAAGATCCCGTCATCATCGAGTGCGGTCACAATTTTTGCCGTCGTTGCATCACCCGCTGGTGGGCCGAGCTGGCGCGCGATTTTCCCTGCCCCGTCTGTCGTAAAACTTCCCGCCATCGCGCTCTTCGACCCAACCGCCAACTCGGCAACATGGTAGAAGCCGCTCGGCAGCTGCGCGGAGCTAAAAGGAAAACCAGGGAGGAAAGCCTTTGCCAAGCTCACGGTCAAGTTCTGGCTCGTTTTTGTCGTGACGATCAAGCTCCCGTTTGTCTGCTCTGCGAGATCTCCCACGCGCATCGCGCCCACGTCCTCGTCCCCCTCGACGACGCGGCTCTCGAGTACAAGGTTTGGGGGGAACTGAAACCTTTTTGGGGTGAAATTGTTGGCGGGGGGGAACACATCCCTGATTCTTATTTTTAGCCCCAGCTTTGCTCCCTGAGGCCGTTTGGGGAGGGGGTTTGGCTCTGATGAGTCTCTGTCTCTGTTTTCAGCCCCAAATTCTTCCCCAAGATCATCCTGGGGGGGGGTGGGGTTCAGCTGTGGCCTCTCCACGTTTCCAGTGAGATTCAGCCCCAAAATGTCTCCCTGAGGGTGTTTCTGGAGGGAATTTGGCTGTGGACTCATCCCCAACTCCTTCCAGCCCCTGGTGATGGGATTTTGCCCCAAACTCTCCTGCTGAGACCATTTGTGGAGGACATTCGGGCACTATCCTGTCCCCATCTCTGTTTTCAGCCCCAAAACTCTCTCCCTGAGTCTTTTTTTGGAGGGATTTTGGCCCTGGCTCATCCTCATCCCTGTTTCAGAGCCCCTGATGATGAGATTTAGCCCCAAACTCTCTCCCTGAGACCATTTGTGGAGGGAATTTGGGCACCATCCTGTCCCTGTCTTCATTTTCCATCTCCCTGAAACCATTTACAGAGGAGTTTGGCCATCGGCTCATCCTTTTCTCCATTTTCACCCCCAAATTCTTCCCTAAGACCATCCAGGGAGAGGATTTTTGCCGTAGCTCATCCCCATCCCCATCTCCAGCCTTGACAGTGGAGGAATTTGAGGGTGAATGATTTGGGACGGAGGACGGGGGGTCCCATCCTGTCACCACCCTCCTTTTTTTCCCCCCCGGTAGGAGAAGCTGCAGCGCTGCCTGGAGCCGCTGGAGCGAAAGCTGGAAGCTGTCGCTGGCTGCCGAGCTCGGGAGGAGAAAAAACCGAGCGAGCTGAAGGCAGGTTGATAGTGTCGGGGGGAAACCGGGAAGATCCCGGCAACTCCTGGCGCTCACCGGTGTCTTTTCCCGGCAGAGGAAGGTGGCTCTGCGTCGGGAACGCATCGCCCGGGAATTTGAGGAGCTTCACCAGCTGCTGGAGGAAGAGGAGCGGCTGCTGCTGCGACGGTTGGAGGAGGAAGAGCGCGAGATCCTGCAGCGGCTTCAGGCCAACCTGGCTCAGCTCGGGGAGCAGCGCCGGGTCCTGGCCGCCCTCGTGGCCGAGCTGGAGGAGAAGTGTCTGCAGTCGGGCGCCGAGATGCTCAAGGTGGGATCGTCACTGCCAACGGGGTCGGTTTTGGGGACGGGATCACCCCAGGGGACAGGATTGCTTTTTGGGGGACGGGATTGTCGGGAAAGGGAACGGGGTTGGGGGCT